GTCTAGAACTCACAGCAATCCTCCTGCCTCAGCCTCCTGAGTGCTGGGATTATAGAAGAGCACCACCACACCCGGCCAAAAAGTTGCCTATTCTTAGAGCCTGGAAGAGTGTGTGTTAAAATTCAGCAGCTATTTCTATTTCTCCCTTTAATTTTATTAATTTCCTTATATATATCTGAGGCTATATTATTAGGAGCACAAAATTCTGAATTTTTGCATTTTCTCAGTGAGTCATGCCTCTTCATTATGAAATACTTCTCATATCTAGTGATACTTCTTCCCCAAAAGTCTATTTACCTGTTTTTAATATAGTTACACCAATTTTCTTTTGTTTAGAGTTTATACAGTACATTTTTACTTTCTATTACTTACGATATCCCTGTGCATACATTTACAGTCATAAAACAGTTCTTTTATGATGAAGCTGTGCTTGGATCTTAAATATTTCATCTAGTTTGACCATCTATGTCTTTTATTTGAAACATTATTTGGGACCCTTTACATTTAATGTAGTTATGGATGTTTGGTTTGAAATTTACCATCTTACTCTTTCTTTCTTTCTTTGAGACAGAGTCTCTCTTTAATTCAAGCTGGCCTTGAACTCACTGTGTAGACCAGGCTGGCCTTGAACTCACAGTGATCCTCCTGCCTCAGCCTCCCACATGTGGGATTACAAGCAGGCACTACCATGCCTGGCTTAACTTTCTATTTGTTCCATGTTTTCAATTTTATTTACAGAACTGGGGGTTGAATCCAGGGCTTTCACATTCCCGGCCCTTTTATTTTGAGACAGGGTTGAAGTTGCCCAGGCTGGGCTTGAACTAGTGATTCTCTATCCTCAGCCTCTCATAGTGCTGGGATTGCAGGTGTGTACCAACATGCTCAACTTGTTCCATGTATTTTGTTTTCCTTTTACTCCCCTTTATTGTTTCCTTTTGAACTCACTGAACATTTTTTATTTTTAAGTACTTATCTTTTATCAGCATTTTAATTATATATACTTTTATAATTCTCTGCATTTTATCACACACTTCTTTAACTTATTAGAATGTTTGAATTTTTATTTCTTAGCTGAAGAGGATCTTAGAATATTTTAACCCTATTTACTTCTCTCCCTACTTATGTGCTGCTGACATCATATATTTAAATTTTATCCATATGTTAACCCTACTATTCATTATTGTTTTACACCGTTAATTTGGATAAATAGTTTGCAAATACTTTCGCTCATTCTGCAGACTGTCTCTTCACTTTGTTGACTGTTTTCTTTGCTGTACAGAGGCTTCTTAATTAGATGGAATCTTGTTTATCTATTTTTACTTTTGGCTCTTAGCCAAAAAAAAATCATTGTTTATGCTGAAGTCCGAAGTGTTTGTCCTATGTTTGCTTCAAGTAGTTCTGTAGTTTTGGGTTTTATACCAAGGTCTTTGAGTTGGTTTTTGTAATGGTGGGAGATAAGGACATAGTTTAATCCTTCTGCTTATGGATATACAATTTTTCTGACACTCTTTATTAAAGATACTGTCCTTCCTTCACTGTATGACTTTGTTGCCTTTGTCAAAAATTGGTGTTATGGGCTGGAGATTTAGCTCAGTGGTGCCACCACCTGCCTCACAAGCTCAAGGTTCCGAGTTCAATCCCTGGTATCCCAAGCAAACAAACAAAAAAACAAAAAAGGTCAATATATTATTTTGGGCCAGGGATTTAGCCCAGTGGTTCTGCTGCTTGCCTCACAAGCACAAGGACCCGAGTTCAATCCCCAGTACCAAATCCCCGGCTCCATTCATTTTATATAAATGACAGGATTTCATTGTTTCTTATACCTAAATTATACTCTTTTGTATTTATATGAAACTTTTCTTTTTTCATTCGTCCTGAGATTGGCACATAGGCTGATTCTGCATCTTGGCTATTGAGAATAGTGCTATTTATGGTTTAGATCTAAAAAATACGCCCAAAATCTCACATTCAGAGGTGGGCCCTGGTCAGGGGGGTTTGGCCACTGGGAGCATGACTTGGAAGGGTCTCTTCTTGTCCCTGGCTCCTTCCTTCTTCTGTTACTTCCTGGCCACCATGACATTCTGCGTTGGAGCTGCTGACCACAGACTGAACCCCCTGAAACTGTGACCCAAAATCAGTCTATCCTCCTTTGTCAGATATCTCATTCCAATGATGAGAAAAATGACTAATACAGTACCCCACCACCAAACAAAAAGAAGCAAAAACACTGTGAAAGGGCAAGTATCACTTTATGAGCTGATTTTATTCCCTTTAGGAATGTACACAGAGAGCTGGGCATTTGGCTCAGTGGTTCCACCGCCTGCCTCACAACTGCAAGGGCCTGAGTTTGATCCCTGGCACCAAAAGAGAGAGAGAGAGAGAGAGAGAGAGAGAGAGAGGGAGAGAGAGAGAGAGAGAAATGTACCCAGAATTGCCAGAATTGGGGAAGCTAAAGCGCATGGTAGCTCTACTTTTAATTTTCTAGGGAACATCTATACTGCTTTCTACAATGTTTGTACAAAAGAGTTCCATTGCTTTAAATGTTGGTTTTTATGCCAGTATTATGCTGTTTTGGTTGCTATCATTTGTTATAGCTTTGAGATCAGGGAGTTAGGGATTTTTTTTTTTTAATTTTTTGGTACCGGGGATTAAACTTGGGTCCTTGTGCTTGCAAGGCAGGCCACGGCACCACTGAGCTAAATCCCCAGGCCTAGGGATTTTAAAATTGATATTAAAAATTCATGTGAATGAGTTTTGCCCATTGTATTTATTCATGCAACATCACCTAAAATAACAGATAGAATGTTCTACTTCCCAAGTACTAGTTTCCAGTTTTCTACTTATCTTCAATGCAATTGTTTTACTTGTTGTTGGACTTCAGATACTTGAATCATATAAATAGATCGTAAGTGTATACATTTGTGTAATTTTTTGAAGATTCACCCATGATTTACATTTATCAGTCATTTGTTACTTCATGTCACTATCACTGTAAAAATTTTCTTTATCCATTCTCTGCATGACATATATTTGAAGTATCTTAATTATTATGATTAAGGCTGCTGTGTACTTTCTTCTTCAAATCTTTTTGTGAAATACACACACACATATACATACACACCCTCATTATTCTTGGGAGAATACTTACAATTTCTGGATCATAGAGAAAAATACATGTATACTATTAGAAATTAACAGTTCTCTAAAGTGAGCGAATTGTTTACACTCCACCAGCAGTGATCAAGAGTTCCAGTAGCTGCACAACCCTATAAACATTTGATATTATCAGTGTTTTTCATTTTATTTATTCTAGTGCATGTATAATGACATCACATTGAACCTTTATTTTCATTTTCCTGGTGAACAATGATATTCAGTACCTTTTCATGTGCACGGTGGTCATTCCATGTCATTTATTTATTTATTTAGTACCAGGGAACAAACTTGGGGTGTTGTGCTTGCAAGGCAGGCGGTGGAACCACTGAGTTAAATCCCTGGCCCTTTGTGTCTTTTTTTTTTTAGGTACCAGGTATCAAACTCAGGTCCTTGAACTTGTGAGGCAGGCGGCAGAACCACTGAGCTAAATCTCCAGCCCCCTTCATATCTTTTTTTGAGCATTTGCTCAAGCACTTTACACATTTTAAATGGAAATGTTTGGATTTTTACTGAGGATTTTTGAAGTTTCTTGATATATTCAGGACACAAATCTTTTGTCGCACATATATATTGTACATGTGCTCTTATTGCTTCGTGTTTTGCACGTATTATCTCCCCAATCTGTGTTGTGTCAGTTCATTAATTTTCTTAACAGTATCTT